GGGGTACAACAACCCATGTGGCATGGGTTTGTTGCATGTGTGCCCCCTGCTCTCCCCCCTCTAGCAGGGAGGTGGTGGTGCCTGTGGAGAGCGCAGACCCCGGGGACGCGTTTGGGCTGCTGCGGCGCTGCATCCCGCGGCGCATCGGCGCCAGCCAGGGGCCCAAGGCCCGCGTGCTGGTGCGCACCCACGCCCCGCTGCCCCGCCCTCCCGCAGCACGGCCTTGGCTGGCTGGCTGGCTGGCGGCGTGCTCGTTGCGGCGGGCAGAGAGCCTCCTTGCGTCTCTGCCTGCCTGCCCGCCTGGGCGCGCTGCCAGCCTGTCGCAGCGTGCCCCATACATGCCCCGCAATGCCCCCCGCAGGTCTGCGCGCCCTCCAACTCCGCGCTGGACGAGATTGTGCTGCGCCTGATCACGCTGGGGCTCACAGACCAGGCGGGGCGGGTGTTCACGCCAAACGTGGTGCGCTGCCTGCTGCTGCCTGCCTGGTTGGCTGCTGCACGCTGGACGCTGAACACGCTGGGCTGGCGGCCGCTGGGCCCGGCGCGGCGGTAGGGGGTGTGCTGCTGCACGGCGTATCCGGGGGCTGGAAGTGCCCCGATGCCCCGCCCCCAAGCCTGCGCCCTCGCCTGCCGCCGCCGCCGGCGCCTGCCCGCGGCGCAGGTGCGCGTGGGTGTGAGCATCCACCACAGCGTGCAGAGCGTGGCGCTGGACACGCTGGTGGCGCACAGGCTGGGCGGCGACGCCGTCAAGGTGGGTGCGGGTGGGGTGGGGTGGCGCCTCCGCGCGCGGTGGGTAGCGGGTTTGTGTCTGGCATCGCCACCCCGAGGCGCTGCGCTGGGGCTGGGGCGTCAGCACGCCTGAGCCGCCTGTGCCCCGCCCCTCCGTGCAGAGCGTGGCGGGGTGGGAGAAGGAGCGGCTGCGCATGGCGATACTGGAGGAGGCAAACATAGGTGTGTGTGTGCGTGTGGTAGTGGGTGGAGGTGGGAAGGCGGGGCACCGCATGCACGTCAGTGGCATGTGGAGTGTGGGGGCCGACGACGAGTGGCGGGCCCGGGAGCCTCGCCGCCGGTGCGTGGCGCCCCTCCCAGCCCTCGCCTCGTGTCGCCCGTCGGCCTTGGCCCCCCACACCCCTC